GCCGAGCATTGGATGAGCCACGGGCAGCTGCAAGAGCCACCTTCCTCCCTTCCCATGCCCAACGAGCCATGCCTCAGTCCTGCGCCCACCCCACACAGATCTGGGAAGCACATACCCGCCTCTCGCCCCCCGGATGAACCGCTTGCAGTTCTGTCCCGTACCCCTCCCTGCCCTGGGTGGTTACCGCCTGCCCCTGCCCCAGCTGTAGCCCCATTCCCTCCCTCACAGCAGGGGCCTTGATCTGCACCCCCACACACACCCCTTCCTTCCCTTCCCCTCCCATCATACCAGACTTACCAGATGAACGCAGCTTTTCATGTTGAAGAGCTGCATATCAGAAATCAGATCAGTATTGACCAATATGCCTCCTTAAAAATCTGCTATAGGCATCGGCCCCAAAATCTCTAAATAGTTCATTTGAGTCTGACTCAGATGTCTCCCAGCAGTAGCTTCTGAGCTACCTGTAGAACTTGAAACTGCATAATTCAAACCAGCAACTTCTACTCTCCAAGCTAGCAGCACTATCATTAAAATGTTCTCCTGGTCTAGGGACAGACATTACACACAAACTGGTTTAAGTGATCAGAAACTGGTTTAAAACTGTAACAAAACAGCAATTCAGTACACACAAACTGGTTTCAAAATGGCCAAAATCAGTTTAAGATAGACCTGGAGGAATGTAGTATCAAACTTAACTGGATTTAGTTAACATCAGTATGCTTCATTATTGGTTCAATCTGTGCAATTTAGAGAAACCCATGAAGATTGAATCGATTCCACTTCTGGCTTTTTGATTGTCTGTACTTAGCCCTGGTTAGTCTTTCTCCTGGTTGAGAGGTGTAATTACAAAGAGGGAGAGAGAAAGATCCACTCTGCCGCTAGATCTGCTAGCTGTCAGAACAGGGAGAGAGAAGGCCAGATTCTGCTAGTTCACAAGGAGGCTTGATGTCTCCCCACCTCTGCATTTTTCAGGCCTTTGACTGACTATGGTGAGGCCTAGTGACCAACTACTGGTGAGAGCTGCTTTGTGGGAGCAACTAACCATTCTGTCTGTAGACAACTTTGGGGGAGCGGGGCATGCTGTGCAGAAAGAAGAAAGCAGTGAAGCTTTCTCTGCTGCTCAGTCAGGAGGCCATCCTTCCCCCCTGCATAAACTGTCTCCAGAAGTGAGGTAGAGAATACACCATTTGGATGCAATGGAAATGAAAATTTCTGACCTCCAATTGAAAACTCAATGTCAGGATCCTGAGTCTTGTGGGCAAAAGAAATGTCTGAGGGCCTTGTTGCCTGTTCACTAGCAACCATTGCAAATCATTGGAATGTAGAGACCTATTAAAATTTGTACATGTTAGGAGAAACCCTTGCCTAAAAGGGAACAACTTTGCAATGCCACAAGGGTACTTACCATGTCCTAAACTGCTTGAATGTGCATGGCTTGCATTTTAATTTCACTTAAGTGGCAAGCTGAACATGTGACACCATCCAAACATATAATAGGATTGAAAGTTTCACTTCTGTCAGTTGTGTAACTAGGACTAGGGTGGGGGGCTGGGGCAGCAGAAAAGAATGGGTGCCATTGCAGCCATACAATCATGGCAGTGGCAGCAACCAGAAGTTGCTGCCACCCCTGCATGTGGCATCTGCCCGGGGTGTGCAGCTTCATTGTGATGCCTCTGAGTCCTGTCCCTATATCTGGTCAGTCTGCTTTCCCCAAAATGAAAAATCCTCTGATTTGTGCTTTGTATTTCAGTCTGACATACATCTGGACAGCAGGGTGGTTGATTGCTCAAATTCTCTATTTAGAGAAAATTAGCAGATGGTGTGTGGTATCAGTATAAAAACACATAGTTGGCAAATAGCCTGTGTCATAGATAAGGAGCTGCATCTCGGCTCCCTGACAAATAGCTGTCGCACAGTATATGTCAAAGTTTTATGCTGATCTAAACCAGATCACACAGGACCCAGGCTCATGTGAGTAGTTGCATTGACTTCAATGAGACTACTGACTTGAATCAGAAGTAATCAATGGGTATGTACAATCTTAACTCCAAAGATGAACTCACTTTAGATCAATCTGGGTTAACACGATCTAAAGTGGATCATCCTGACCTAGTGTGTGCTTGTATGCATTCACAGCATAGCCCCAGGGCAGGGAAAACCCAGCTACTTGCCCCAGGCTCAGCCCTGTGCTGTTCCTACCTCCCCAACTCTGATCAGACTATTTTTAGCCTCTAGATTTACCTCCTGCCCCCAGTTAATTACCCCCCTCCACCTACCTGCCAGCCTCCTCTCACTGCCTTCTCTCCCCGCCCAAGTTACTTACCTCAGGCTGCCCACACCACTCTTGGCAGGAGGCTAACTCCTGACCACACTGATCCCAGTTTAGGTAGTTTAAAGCAAGCCAAATAAACCTAAACCAGGTCCCACAAATGCTTGTTCACACCCAATTAGTAATCAGTGGTATAGACCAAAGAAGCAGGCTTCTATGATTTGCTGACTCAGGTGCTTAAGGACAAGAAAATGCACTGTATATGAAAAGGAAAAATCTCAAAATAACTGTTTTTCATCACTTCTTCTCTCTGCAGATTGTCCAGAAAGCCTTGGATGATGCCAGGCAGGGCCGAACCTGCATTGTTATTGCTCACCGTTTGACAACTGTGCAGAATGCTGACATCATAGCAGTGATTCAGAATGGAAAAGTGGTAGAACAGGGGACTCACAGCCAACTGCTTGCAAAAGAGGGACACTACTATGAACTTGTAAATGCACAAGTGTCTCATTAGATGAATGCAAGATTCATTTTATTTATACAAAGATACATAGACCTACAACTAAGTTGTATTAAGGCTGAAAGTGTCCAAGTATTGTCATCTTGCACTGTTGAGGTTCAAAACACAGCCATGCTGGGTATAATAAATTTAGATAGACTTGTTTTTGATGTGTGTCATAGTTTTAAGGTAAGTTCCTTTGAGAGATGCTATTTAATTTTATACATTTTTTATCATTAGAAATGTAAATGTAAATTGACATAATAGACCACGTTTGTTCATTTAGAAGCTAAACAAAGGGACCTGGGAATCTTGGGTACACATGAGTCACCAGTGCAGTGCCCTCATGAAAAATGCCAGCACAATCCTAGGCTGCATTATGCAGGGTATATCTAGTAGAGACAAAGATCCCATTGTACAAGGCATTGGTAAGACCCATTTAGAATACTGTGGGCAAAAAGTTCAAAGAAGATCAATATAAACTGAAAAAAGTTCAAAGGACCACTGAGAAGGTTAGGGGCATGGAAATAAGGAAAAAAGAGTAAAGGACCTCAGTTTGTTTAGTTTAGCACAATGGAGATTGAGAAGGGATATGATCACTTTATACCAGTGCTATGTGAAACAAATATTAGGGAAAGTGAAGAGCTGTTTAGGATGAAAAACAACACCACCAAATGGCTATATGCTGATTGTGGGTAATTTGAGATTTGGAAATTGGAAGATGATTTCTAATTTCAGAGGAGTAAAGCTTTGGAATGGTTTTCCAAGCAAAGTAGTGAGGGCAAAAAATCTGAATTACTTTTAGATTGAATCAGATACAGTTAGGGAAGGGATAGTATAATAGGGAAGGGAGTTCTGGCACACCAATCAGTCTCTCACATGTGAAGTAATAAATTGATAGTCCCCATAGTGAACATCAAGGTAACTGTAAAATAGAAGGTATCTGGTAATCCCTTGCCTTGAGGTTTTGCTGGTTGCCATTTGGAGCCCAGAAGAATGTTATCCCCTTTTTGGCTTCTGGCTTGTGGTTTTTGTTTTTTTGGTTGTTTTTGGGGGGGATGGGGGTTGTTTGTTTGGGTTTTTTTACATTCAGCTGAGGCACTGAGATATTGTGCACAGTAAGGCTAGGGGGATTTGACCAAAGTGCCCTCATGTTCCTGACAGTAGTAGAAATCCAGACATCTCCAGCTAGAGGATTTTGCTCTTCTCTTTAGGGTCATAGCAATCACCATATGTGTGGACAGGGGAGAATTTTTCCACTAGATCAAATTTGCATGGATTGTTTTGCCTTTCTAAGGCATAAGGTTTTGTCCTTTTTATAAAATCACTTAGTTGCCTCCCTGTTTTTGTAGTGGCAGGGCAGTGGCAGTCATGTCCTTTTCACCTTTGGCGTGTTACAGGGTGTTCTTGGTCTTTCCGATATTATTCCTTGGAGTTGTGGATGAGAACTGTGGGGGTTCCATCAGTTAACAATTCTGTACAAACACAATGGATTTGGGCTTGATTAATCCAGGAAAGTCAAAAGCAAATCCAGAGTGGGGTATGGTGATAGAGTCCCACCGCCCTCATCGCCTTCCATCACCTTCGCACCCTGCTTTTCAGTATCTTGGATACACTTCTGACAAAAATACCCCTTCCAGTCCTAAGTTCCTAAACAGCATTAAAAAGATTGCTGACCCAATAGAACGTGGCTCTTCCAAGCCCTTAAAACCATTTAAAAAAGGCTTTAAGATGTGGATCTTCGATCCAGTCATCAGAGATGGCTGCTTCTGGAGCTATTTAAAAAATGTGTTTATCAACATGCAATATCATATTTAAACATTTTTCATCTTTTTTTAGTTGACTTTTAAAATTGTTGATGGATCCATATTTACACAGTTCCACTGCAATATTTTATCATCTGGGTGTTTTCTACCAGCTGAGGCATAGATGTCATCTCCTCAGGGAGAAGCTCAGGGAGACATGTCTTTGGTTTACTTTTGGCAACCCTGAATTGCAGCATTTTGTTCTTCCAAGGACTAAATTAATATCATATTTGGATTTTGGTTTTGGAGTCTGGAATATTTTACAACTTCCAGATAAAATTGCTTTACTCATGACAGCCTGAAATTTAAAACAACCTCCTTTGCCTTTTTTTTTTAAATTGCTTTCCAGCATCTATATCTAAGGGTAATAAAATACCGAAACATACAAACTGTGCACTCAATATTGCTAAAATTACATACAGCCACTTTCTCCTAATGAGCTTTTTTCAGAGGCCTGCCAGGATGGGTGATTTCTCTGTCTCTAAGTCAAGGAACTTCAGTTGATCTCTCTTCCCATTTGTATTTCCTTATTATCCTAACTGGTTTCAAATGTATCCATATTTCTGGTTTTCCTTCTACACTGGAGTCAAAATGACAAGCAACAGATTGGTTTTGTGCCTTATATTTTAAAGCTCCTTTCTTCTATAACAGAAATCTGGGAGATCCGGGGAGGTTGGATCCGAGTTCCTGGTTCACACGCATTTCTGTTATAGATCACAAAGAATCCGTTATTTATTCTAATTGTTTTACAGACAAAATGAAGCCTCTAATGAAGAATGTGAAAATCATTCACTATAAAAAGGGAGATGCCAAACTTGAAATAAATTTAAGGGCATATCATGTATGAACTATAACATCTCTAACTAGCTAAAGGCATTGCATAGATGGAAAGACCTATTCTTAGCTACAAAGATAACGGAAAGTACAGGCCAAAGAGCTTGATTTAATTGTACAGTGGGCTTCCAATTTGGTAATTTTCATTAGTATTGGCAATCTCTTGATTTGAGGATGATTTCTACCATGGCTCATTGATGGGTCTAGAGATGACTTAAGAGGCCAAACCTTGAGCCACAGGTCCATCCACAGAAGTTGCAGGTCTTTCTGCAGGGGAGAGTAGGCTGCAGCCTGGGATTCCTTTCCTTTTCCTTCCTCCATTCTCTCTTCTCTGCTTCGAAGGCAAAACTCTTTACCTTGAAATGGACTGGTTGAGGTTGCAAAGCCATTGGAGTTGGTTGGCAGCTAGCTCCTCCAACACTTGATGTTGGCATTTGTTTTCTTGAGGTATTCCTTCAATGTGTCCCTGTACTATTTCCTCTGACTACTATGAGATCTCAGTCCATTACCAAGTTAGGAATAGAGCAGTTGTCTTGGGAGTTGAGAGTTAGGCATCCGCACAGTGTCTGGTCCAGCAGTATTGGTGCTTAAGAATCACCAACTCAATGCCAACAACAATGGCTGCAGCAAGGATATTGGCGTTTGTGCAGCCACCTTCCCTTTTTGATGTGGAGGATTTTCCAGAGGTATCTCCAGGCTCTTGAGATGATAGCTCACATCTGTAGAGGAGGTTGGGGATGATGACTGCATTATAGACCTGGATCTTGTTGTCATTCCAGAGATCACAATGAATAAAGACATGCTGAAGCAGTTTCTCAGAGGAGACACTTCTACAATGTAGAGGCAATCACAGAGCATGAACAATTCAGTTTTAAAGCTTTTGAAAAGAACTGTGCCAGGGCCTGCCTAAAATATGCAAGTTCCTACAACCACTAGAATTGTGACTTCTGATCATGTGTTGTTTCAGATAGAGGCCAGCATTACATATGAAGTAAAGGGAAGTCATTATACATGTGTCATTCTTGGCACACTGTTTAACCTGTTCCATCCCTGTCTTCCAATATAACAATAGCTATGTAATCTAAATCACATCTCTATTAGTAAGAAAAAAAATGAAATAAGACCTGGAGTTCTCAAATGTCACACCATTCCCTAAATGCCATTGCTGGCTGTGACATAATTCTAAGCCAAAGGAGATACTGGTATTTTATATATATACCCAAAATGTATGTTCATTACTGCTGTAACTTTGTGCAAGGAAAAAAAAAAAGACACTACTCCATGAATATATCTCATATCTTAGAGAAATCTGGAAAACCTCCATTTTTATACATCTGGCCTTTGAAATGGTCATTCAAGGGAGAACATTTAATAGGAAAATGCAAATATGAATAAGGTAACAAATATCTGCTCATCTGGTCTGCAGCAAAACTGCACATGCTGTCTGTCAAAGAAATACTATTATTCTATTTATTTTTTCCAGTTCAAACATAATAAAAGACACCATATCCCTAGCAATAAAAGAAGGAAATCAACCCTAACATAAAACAGCAAGATAGCAAGAAAACAAGAAAATTCCAACCCTTTTCCAGGTTTCCAAAACAGATCCCACACCACTAAATGCCTGACAAATATATAGGCTGCACTGAATGAATTTAAGCAGAACCTTGTTGCAGACTTTAATAACAAATAATGGCCAAACATTCTCAGGAACTCTGAGCCTTCATTCATTTCTTCCAGCAGATTAGGTCCATGATTCCTCACTTCCCTGGGTTTTCAATTATAGATACATGTCATTAATACTTGTATAGCTATCTACAACCTGACTGGGTGTATGTTAATGAAAAGGGTTTATCATGAAGACTCCATCCACAGTTAAGTGAAAAATTTATGACAAATACTTAAGAACCATTTAACTAGGATGGCCTCAGAAGTTATTAGTTAGGTTTTGCCTCTTGACAGTGACTGCTATTTTGTATGGTAATGGATTTAAAGTGCTATGTTTGTGTGACCAGTCAAATACCTAAATCAGTGCTTTCTTGTTTGTATCAGCAAAATATGGAATTTTTACAAGGTTACCCAAAGATTGTTCCAACTTCTATATAATGGAGGCCTCTAATGTGTTTCTTACAACCTCTGCCAACCTCCTCTATTGTTCCTACCCAGATTTACCCAACCACTTAAAAATATATTTTCAGGTCTAGACAGAATGGAGGTATGGGCCTAATGAGGTGTCCCAAGCAACAAAGCTATTAATTTGGAGGGAGTCCACAATATACTTAACCACTCAATTATGACTTCATCTTATGTTGCTGTTAATTTTGACTAAATCTTGGAGTTAGACTTGTCCATGCAAATGCAAACTTCAGACATTGCAATGAGTATAGTACAAACTCCTTGAAAACAGCTGCTGATTCTGGAGCCTTCAAACAGTTAAACACTGTTGTATTTTTTTTTTATTTGCATTAGAGTGTGACCACCCTAATGGGTGCTTAAGTTTGCTATTAATTTAATATCCATGCTGTTTTGGATTTCCTATCACAATTTGCAAGGTGCTAACTGAATTTAAATTTTATCACAATGTATTTATGTTTCATCTCCTATACAGTCTATATTTTTTTTTATGTACACTAACCTAAAAAAATGGTAAATTGCATGACTGTGGTGATGATCATGTGGTGATATGAAAGACTTTGTTTGGCACCATCCATCACAACTCTTAAATCTTTAGAAACATTCTTCGTTTTTGAAAACTAATGTGCTGTTATTTAGGGGAAAGATGGATGTTGGGGCGGGCGAATGAGGTTGAACAAGTGGAGCTCTTTCAGGTCCCCTGGAATAATGTTAATGTGTCCTTTTATTTATTTTATAAGGAAAAGGTTTATGGGTCTAATTAGAATTATGAGAGACTTTGTGAAATTCTACAAAACAATCTGTGACGGGGAATAACTAATCTGTCCATTCTCAGCAGTATTTAGCCTGCACTGTATGGATGAATTTTTGTGTGCGTTTGTAATTGTGAATTTGTCTGGCTAATAGAGAGCTTTTAGGGCTCTTGTTATATAGCAAGAGTTAGGAAAATTCCTGTCACACTCAGGAGACAGCCTATTTAAATGTTAATAGGATGTGGTTTCACCTAATTAGCAGGGGAAATATTAAGAATGTATGCAGGTTCATTAATGTTTAATCACCTGACTTTGCTGGAGGGTCTGCAGCATAACTGCTGTAGGAAAACAGCTACCCTTGTGACATGGTGTTCTTGATCTGTGCTAGAACTTACACTGAAGGTAGCAACAATGCAGATGCAGCACTGAAACACGAGTACAAAATGTCCTAGTGTGCCTACACCTAACAAATCCGCACATGTATGATGGCAAGAAGCAGCTGTACAGTGCCAAGCTGTTCCTGTAGACAAGGATGAGGCATTTTGCCATCTGTTCATAAAAGCTTTTCATGCATGGTGATAAAAATGCCTGAGCCCTCTCTGTAGTCCTTGTCTACTGTCTGTGGGGCTAAACTGTGGGGGCCTCTTGCTACCTTACTGGTATTATTCTATTTTCTGGTATGAACAAAATCAAAGGAAGGAAGAATTCAAATGATCTATTTATGGAGGTAACATAGCAGTGCCTCCCTTTGGTGAGAAAAGGAATGGTTTTGACATAGAGGTGTATTTTCTAAAGGGAAGACTACCTGAAAACTGTTTTACTCTAAAGAAGTTTGGTACACAAGTTATCGGGAAGCTTAGATACCTGTAACACATCTTGTCTCGGGTTCTGTGCCATCTGCTAGATGTCTAAGTCTGCACAGCCCCTTGGACCAAAAAAAAATACTTACCTCAGGAGAGCAATGTTATTCTACCCAAGGAGGTTCATAACTCTTCCAGTCTCTCAATGGTGGACTTTTAGAGCATGCAAATAGTCAGTCATAAGTAAGGCAAAGGGGTTCAAGTAAATTTTCCCCCTTCGGTATCTGATGTAGAAATTCACATTATTTACCTCCATCATCTCGGGATCCTATTGTGGCCTTGAGCCTGATACCCAAGCCAAAGCGACATAACCTTGGTTCTGGCCTCTTTTTCATGCATTTTAGCTAAAGATTAATGCAAAATACATAATCAGCATAGAGAACAGAATACAGGGCTGTCTTCTACCAACATAATGCTCTTCTCACTGGGGTAGAGAGTCAAGTATCATCTTGCCTGCCTTCCTTCTAATACCATGAATCTTGCATTCCTTTCCACACAGTGGCTCAGCTTCTACAGGAGGGATGAAGGATATGCTCAGCTGGCCTATTATCTAATGGTCAGGTGGCTTTTCTGGGAATAGGGAGAAGTGGATTCAAACTTCCTCAGGCTGAAGGGCCTAGAACTCAGTGATCAAAAACTGGTTTAAACCTGTAATAGAACATATGTTCAGTGCACATAAACCCAGTTTCAAAATGGCCAAAACTGGTTTAAGATAAACTTGATTGAATGTAGTATCAGACTTAACTGAATTGGGTCAAACTGGTTTATGGAACTTCTGTCCCAGACCCCTTCTTGGTTTAAATTAAATTAGAGTCCCCTAGCATCCCAGCATGCTTTTAAGGCCTGGGCTGGGCTGTCTGCTCCAGAGAGGAGAGATGGCCCTGCCCCTCTCCTCCCTAGCCAGAGCTCCAGCTGCCTGAGAAGCGAGTGGGGGACTACAGCCAGGAGACAGCATCTGCCTACCTACCCCTTGCCCCAACCTCCCCTTACTCGCTGCTCAAGCAAGGATCTGACCTCTCCCACATCAGGGACCCCAGTGGCATGGACCCCAGCCTGCTTTGGCTAAACCATGCCCCATACTAGCTAATCCTGAGAGGTGTCTGTGTGTGTGTTTCCAATTTCATTGGAACAAAGGCAGACAGATAAGTGTCAGCTTAAGGCTTTTTGGAACCACTCAGCAGGTAGCTGGTAATGTCCCTTCATTTCTTCTCTAGAAAAAGCTATTTAAGAAGAGCTTGAACTAATGAGAGAGGCTTTGTTTTCTTGATGGACTGATAAGCTTTGTGTTCTGATAAGCTGGCTTGCTTGCTTCAAAGGCCACAATCTGTCAGTGTTTAAGAGGGGACAGAGAAATGACCTGGTTTGCAATGAATGCAGTGCCTGTCAGTTTGCTGGAGACAGTATGAAGAAGCACGGAGAGGGTGATTGAAAAGTTCAGTATCATCAACAGATGCATGCATTCCATTCTAGCAGTCCTCTCTCCTCCCATGTCCCCTTTGCCTCAGAGTGCTAGCCAGGGGGCCAGGGTCTGGCAACACTACCCACCCCTTGAGCAGTGAGCTAGGAGAAACCTGGTGAGGGCTGCTTCCCCCTCTCTTTCCAAGCACACCCTGGCTGGGGACTGTGCAGGCCAGGGTAGGGGTTTAAAACCTTCCCTAATTATAGCATCCTGCTGGGGGCTGTCCCCCACTCAGCTCAGCACTGCGGAAGGGAAGGGAGGGCTTCTCTAGCACCCCCCTCCTCTCCCTGCCTTCTAGATTGAACCACTGCAAGTATGTGCCTGCATGTCCTGATTCCAAAGTGAATATCTATCCACTTGCAAATCAGTTCAATCTCTTCAGGTTAGACCAACCTGCAAATATTGGATCAATTCAGGCTTTGATTGTCTGTTCCTAGCCTAAGCTACTGAAAGAAAAATGACGTGAGTCCTCTTCCCTCTCTCTTCCTGACTTTTAGAAGCCTTAAGGCAAAGACTTCTACAAAAAAAGTTGTAGTAACGGTTTTCCAGGGACTCAAGCAGGGTGAAATAAGATTGCACATAGAGAGACTTAGTACCTAAACCCCCCAAATCTCAGTGGTAGAATAAGATCTAGACCCCTTTGTTCCTTGTGTCCTAATAGTGTATAGGTATTACTACAACCATTTCCATGTGACTAGTTTCAATTAAGGTTAACTGCTGTGAGATACCTGTATGTTAGCATCTACCACCTAAATATTAAATTATTCATTCCATTATATGAGTCAAAGAAGCCTAAAACATCTTACCTGTATCAAGAGTACTGCACACCCCCAAAAATAGATTGTATGCCCCTTTCACTGCACCCAACATCATCACTTTCTGATTTCTGTGACCCAAATGAATTGGTTGCCTTATGTCTCTGAGCAGACATGCTGCTCACTTGCTGCTGAGAGCCTGAATCAAACAAGCAAGCATTGGTCTCCACCTGAGAAGAGGAGGAGATTCAGGCGCAGTTGAACTTAGCCATATGTAGGACCTTGTTTTATATGATAGATGACCAGCAACTGGCCAAGCTGGCAAGACCAGTTCTGCATGCAGTACCGAAAAATAAAAATGGACTAAAAGTCTCATCTAGTAAGACCTAACACAGCTATTTACTCTGTGCTGAGCAGATAATGAGCAATACTACAGCCTCAGGTCTCTTCCATCTGTCTGGGGCAGTGCACTTCTAGATCAGGGGTTGTCAGCCTGTGGCACATGAGCTACAAGTGGCATGGACAGCCTCTGTGTGTGACATATGACAGACTGGGGAGGGGCAGGTAGCACAGCAGCAGACAGGGAAGAAGCAAAGCAGCAGATGGAGTCGGGAGCACATGACAAGAATCAGAAAGAAGAGCATCAGATCAGGCAGGGGAACAGGATCAGAGAGGCACTTGGGGAGTGCATTGGATGAATTTGTGACATGCATGCCAAAAGGGGTTGCCCCCACTGTTTGAGATATAAGCAAGCAAGCATGGAGCTACTGCTTGCAGCGTATTCCTGAAAGATATGGAAGAGATGACAAAGAGCTACAAACTAAAGGGAGGAGGATCTGGACCTGGAGATATTTATTGGGTTTTCAGGATCTCTGTTAAGGAACCAAAGATGGAATCTAAGTGCCAGATGAGGAAATATAATCAGGAAACAAAGGGCCATCATCAGTAGGTTTAATGTACAATGCAGGATTCTGGACATGAATACAAACACGCATCCCATTGGGACTTTAGGTAAGCCCAGTATGGATACCAACCCTCCAACTGTTCATGCTGACCTAGTAAAGGGGCACCTGGAGGGGTTGAATGTATTTAAGTCAACAGACCCTGATGATCTTCATCCTAGGGTAGTTAGGGAATTAGCTGGAGTCATAGCAGAGCCACTGGCACAACTGTTTGAGCACTCGTGGCACTCAGGACAGGTCCCAGAGGATTGGAAAAGAGCCAATGTGGTCCCTATTTTCAGGAACGGGAGGAAGGAGGAACTGGGTAATTATAGGCTGGTTAGTCTTACCTCTACCCTTGGCAAGACCTTTGACAAAATTGTTAAGGATAACATTTGTGGGGGACCAGTGGGTAAAATAATGTTAAAGGACAATCAGCATGGGTTCATAGCAGGAAGATCCTGCCTGACTAACCTGGTTTCATTTGACAACCGGGTCACAACATTCTTGGATGAAGGAATAGAGGTAGATGTTATTTACTTAGATTTTTAAAAGGCCTTTGACACCGTATCACACCCAGTTCTTATAAATACATTAAACAGTTGCAATGTAGATTATTATACAGTCTGGTGGGTAGAAAATTGGCTTATGGGACGCACCCAAAGAGTGGTGGTGGATGGGTTGGTTTCTACCTGGAGAAATGTAGGTAGTGGAGTCCTCCAAGGTTCTGTCCTCTGTCAATATCTTCATTAGTGACTTGGATGAGGGAGTAGAAAGCACCCTGTCCAAGCTTGCTGATGACTCCAAATTATGGGGGGTGGTACACAAACTAGTTGTCAGAGAGTGAATCCAGGCTGATTTGGACAGGCTAAGGAAATGGACCGAACAGAATAGGATGCAGTTTGACAAGGATAAGTCATGTGTTGCACCTGGAGAAGAAGAATCATCAACACTCCTATAGCCTGGGACGTACCATTGTAAGTAGCACAACTATCTTGCCACAACCACAAACTTTCTTGCATAAGTAGGTGCATCACAAACAGGTCTAGGGAAGTGATAATTCCCTTCTATGCAGCATTGGTCAGGCCGCAGCTGGAGTACCACGTCCAGTTTTGGGCACCGCACTTCGGGAGGGATGTGGAAGGCCTGGAGAGGCTTCAGTGGACGGCCACTCATCTGGTTAAAGGCCTACAGAAAAAAGCCTATGTGGACCAACTGAGAGACCTAAACTTCTTCAGCTTCCGCAAGAGGAGGCTGAGAGGTGATCTCATGGCCACCTACAAACTCATCAGGGGGGCCAGATGAGGAGCCTACAAACTCATCAGGGGAGCAAGAAATAGGGGCTACAATGTTTACCAGGGCACCTGTCAGGGTAACTAGAAATAATGGCCACAAACTGGAAGAGAGCAAATTCATATTGGACATCAGGAAAAAGTTATTTACAGTGAGGGTGGCCAAAATATGGAACCCGCTTCCAAGTGAGGTGGTGCTGTCCCCTTCATTGGAGGTATTTAAAAGGAGATTGGACAGATATCTGGCTAGGGTCATCTGACACCCGCACTCATTCCTGCCCAGGGCAGGGGATCAGACTTGAT